CGTTATTTAAAACAAGGGTGTTTTTGACATTCTATTTGTAATATTTTATACAAAAATCAAAAAGAAAATATGGGGTCATTTAAACAAAAAAGACCTTTGACTAGGTCATTTAAATGAAGAGCCCCCTTTTATGATCTCATAATTTCTCCCAAAACCCTTGTGCGTCTGAGATAAACCCTCCGCTCGGATTCCTCCCAAGATCCACCTCACGAACTCCTCCGGCAACAACGGCGGCAATGGCTTGGCGTGGCTCCATCACCAGATCGCTCATGTCCACCGCTAGGACTTCCTTGTCCCGCTCCTCGCCGCCACTCTCCGCCCCTCGCCGACTGCGGCCTCCTTCCCCTTCCTCTCGCCTCAATTCGCCCCGTTTCTCGTTCTCCAATCCGAGGTCAACTTCTAAATTGCAAATTTCGATCTTCAATGTTGTTTCTTCTTCACTTAACACATGTAGGATTAATTGTCATGTTTCGAAATCTTAAGGATGAAACTGATCTCATTCTCTGTTTCCCCACGATTTTTTTTTCTAATGCCCTTTTCTACCTGAAAGACAGTGTTAGTTGCTTTTGATCCTCTTAGAATTTTTTGTTTGTCAATATGGATTCAATTGCGTTTTTCTTGAGCTAAAAATAGCTTTATTTAATTAAATCGATTTTAGCCTGATTAGGTTATGCTTTAGTGAATACCAATAAATGTTGGTAAAAAACCATTGCTAATTTACAATGCTGGATAAATTCTGTGCTTAAGCGGCAATATTCTTCAACCATTGCTAATTTACAATGCCGGAGAAATTTGTGCTTGTGCTGCAATATTTTTCTGCTGGAATATGACTTTCTGAATGTAAATAATGAGAATTATCAAATATCTTTGGCTTAAAGAATTGTGTTTTTGCAATGCGAGTGCAGGACATTAGGTGAGCTTGGGTGCACTCAATCGCTAATGCCACTGCATAATATAGTGACGGGAGCAAGGCTGACATCACACTTGGCTGTCAACGTGCGGGCTTTCTGTGAGCTGTCCCATGGTACCTTCCGCCGTTCTTGTCAGGATCGCTAGTAGTTTCTTTGTGAGTCTGATACTATTGAATTTAGGGAAGTTCCAGGTGTGATAGAAACTGAATAATTTACGTGTTTGTGGTGATTTATTACTTGATTGATTTGACTGATTGCGTCGTGTCTGAAATAAATTTGATGAATAGAAGAGCAGACTGATTATAAAATTAGCTTTTTTGAAACTTAATTGAACGACTAAATGTTGGAAGTACATGGATGTGATAGAGGGATGGAATAGATTGGTGATGCTAACATTAGAAGAGTTCCATAAGATTCAAAAGGCTGGATGCTTGAGTTTTTTAGATACTGATGTTACATAAATGTGAAAGCAGATTAAATGGTTCTATGATATTGCTTGCTTTTGAGTATAAGCAAACTCTCAGCTAGAGAACTGGCCAGTTATGGATTGGTTAAAATAATACATTGACCAATTTTTTATTTTCATTATAAAATTATGATCGTTCAGCTAATATGTGGCTGTGATTTCAAGGGTAGTTTGCTAGGGACTTGGAGTGTTCTGTGTGATACAATTTGCTTGATTTCAAGGTTTACAGTTCAGTTGTGGGTAACGTGACCGATCCCTGGTCTAACCAGTCAAACTGGATGGTTTTCTATCAGCTTATGATGACTATCTTTTTTACATTCTTGGTTAACTTACATTATTGACTGTCTCATTAACTTTTTTCTATGTTTTGAATTGGATTTTAATGTCATTTGCTAGTCATATCGAAGTTGCTTTGGTAAGTACATGCTATGGTTAGTGAGACCTGGAGCTATATCAAAATATGTCCCCTGTGTGATTTGAATGTTTGCTTTATTCTTTCTCATTTTTGCTGCAAGTGTGTATCTGCCGACATTGTATTTTGGCACTGAAATGGAGAATATACATATTTTTTAGAATTAGATCAATTTTGACTTACATGATCCCTTTAGTGTGTTGATTCCCTATTGTCAAAGTCTCTTAATTTTGGCGAATCAGGGTAACAATTCATCGTGACGTATTACCCATTATATGAGTAATATAATAGTGTATAAATAAATTCTAATTGGCCACAATTGCTGCATCACTTGAATTACATATAAAGTCAGTGCTCTAATTATCAAAACATTGCCTGTATTGTATTTTCGCTTTCTGGTTATCTGTTCGCTCCACTATATTAGTGCACATTAAGGAACGAGTGGCGAGCATTAATTCTAATGCTCGTATTGAGTGGTTGACTACTCAGCAAGCAAGCATATCCCAATTGGATCGACTTTATGTTCTTATCGCCTAATTCCATGTCTGTTATAAGCTGTCACGTTCCGTATGTTGCCAAACACGAATGGTATGTGGACACGTGTAACTACATTAGACATGTATCAATATATCGTTCTTGGTTTGTCCCCTAAAGGCATGTTTGCATTCGATTTCCTTTGAATTTCTACTATGATACTGATAGTTTTCTAATCTCCTCGAAATAAAGACAGTACATTAGTTCCTGCTATTTTCATCTATGCATTGAAAGAGAACCATGTGAACCTTGAGTTGTATTTCAGGTACTTGAACAACTTGGTGAAATAATGCACAGCCAATGATCAGGTGTAGCCTGCAAGAATTGTCCCGGAGCAAAATGGAAAGGGAACAAAAACTTGATTTTAGATTTTGTTATAGACGCATTTTAAAGAGTTTTTGGTGTTACCTAAAATAAATTAGTTGTGTTGTTTTCTTGGTCACCTGCACAAGGAGATATGCTTTTGTTAATTATATTAGTATGTTTTTTGTTGATAGAGTCATGGCTGATCGTTTGCTAAGAGTATCTATAACCTGAAGATCGAAATTTCGTTATCGTATGATATCTGTAGTTCTGGCTAGTTGGTCTAAACTTCATTTGTAGCTTTTGCAATTTTTTCCAGATGTTTATATTGTGCAATTTTGACAATGTAGACATCAATTATAATGAGCAATGAATTTCATATACCAGTACAGTTTTCTCCATTAACATTTGAAATTAAATAATATAAAACCCCGTGTAGTGTAACTCTAAAATTATTATGGGAAATTTTCATCTACCCTACAATATTTTGAAAATATTGCAAATATAAAATCATTTAACAAATAATTACATCTCTACCTAATATGTAATAAATAACTACATTAATGACCAAAATCAATTACCATATCCATTCAATCTCCATCCTCTTTTTATGGGCTTGATTAAAAGAGAAAAAAAAAAATAACTAACTTATTTAATTCCTTAATTAGCTCAGCTTGTACATTTTGTAATAGAGACAAAAAAAAAATTGGGTATAGTAATTCGCGTAACCGTCATGTAGTATATTTTGCGTATATGTTAATATATATTCAGTATATGTTGCAATTAAAAACATGTATTCCATCAAAAAATTATGTCCTTTTTTTACTTTTATACATAAAAGTATTTTATAAACATATTATAACATGTTACTTATATTTCTTATACAAAAAAATCTTCTAATATGCTGAACATATACTGAATAAATATATACCCTATACACACAACTTATACTGAACAACTTACAAAAAAATCTTCTAATATACTGAACATATACTCCATATCACACATATACTGAACATTTTACAAAAACAAAAATTCTACTAATATATTGAACATATACTCCATATACACACAACATATAATTGAACATTTTACAAAAAATCTTTTAATATACTGTATCATAAACTACGGTTTTGTTATGGAACCATCGGATGGTTCGGCTTATGGAGTCATCCATAATTATCTATAAATGGTGTATTGACAAGTGTCCCGCAATAAATACACATAGGACACGTGTCAATACATAAAGTTATGAATGACTCCATAAGAGAACTATCCGATAGCTCCATAGTATTTCTGTCATAAACTAATTTGTAAAACGGAAAAATCGAAGCAAACAAATTGGCGACTAATTTCGACCCACACTCAAATTGACAACCAAGAAAGCAAACAACACAGAACAATTAAGACCACAACCAC